CAAATCTTCCCAAACACGTTTTGAAATAACCAGCCAACATTTTGGCCACCAGCATATCTAACCTGATGATATTAACTGACTATGGACAATCTAACAGAAAAACACAGAGGGTTTTGTGATTAGCATCAGGATGAACACGGGCATGTCTGCTCTCATTATCGTTACACGGGTAATGAGACGTAGCAGCCATTCGGTCAGATATCTACTGGACGTTCCTGGGAGGCACCAACCTGCCTGTTACGAGGAGCCGAAAGCAGAGACTGGAAATTGGCAATTAAAATGGATTCAGCACACAACTCAGAGAAATCAGAGGGGACAGTGATAAAGTAATAGCTGGGCTGTAGAAGTCCGGCATTGGAGAGAAGAGTCATTGTTGTGAAGAAGCTGCAGCAAGCAGCGTCCCAGAGCTCCAGCCTCTCTGTCTGAGTCTCCCGAGCCACAGGGACTCCTATATTCCAAACACGTCCTACATCAAATGCAAAAAAATCCGCAGCTCCAGCATTTCAGACGTTGCAGGATGCCATCTGAGGAAGAGCTGGGGAAGTGCAGCATGTATCGCGTATCCATCTAAATGAAAGCTGGGGGCGTTTTGGCAGCTAGATATGTAGGTGTGAAAACAGGGCATACTATATTCTGTATATGAATAAGTACCAGAGCAGCTCTGATTAGGCGTCTTCTCTCCCTCCCTGCTTCCTCCAGGGGTATGCAAATGGTGCTCTGCATATGTACATTTTTAATGAACCTGTTTCTGCAACATTTATGTGTTTCTGCACAATGCATGTGCTCAGAACAGACTGAAGCGACTCTGTGCCAGTAAACAGCCCAAATGTACACCTTCTCCTGAACAGTTTGAAGCCCAACCACACATCAGCATGCTTTCGGATCCCTATAACAGGGGTAACCCTCAGTGCATAATAATTATGGTTCTTCTTTTTTAGTAAATGTCATACAAACATTATCCATGACATGCAGCATGTCTTGCACTTTATTACACTGAATTGCAGCCTTGCATGCTCAAAGCGGCCACTGCATGCTCTCTGCTGCAGTCGTGTTGTGCACCAGTCAACATGCAGGGGGTGAAAAGTGATGGATGTTAATTAGTTTTCTGCTCTGTTGGGCAGATGTTCACCACGAGCTTGCTGGGGTAGAGTTTGTTGTAGTTTTCCAGACAGATTATTATATGCAAACATCAATTGTCATTTTAAAACAAATATTGCATTTATTGTATTGTTATATATAATGTTTTGGGTATTCTCGTCTTTCGCTGTTGCACAGTCAAGCAGGTGTACACATGTAGTACGCAATGTATGCATTATAAACCTTTACATCTGGAAGTGTTGTTATGTACACCAGAACATCCAGCCAATAAGAACGCTTTATGCATACAGATTTTTCTATTCAAATTTTACAGCACTTAACTTAATAACCAGAACCTCAAGGACTCATAGCCCCAGTTAGCCAGTAAAGATTCAGACCAACATATTAAACTGTCTACATAATAATATTTTATTGCTCTGTTTCATTTCCCCATCCTATAATATGGGCTTATTAAAGAGTCTGCAATAAGATCACAGAAAGGGGGGTGCGGGGGCAGGAATATGTTCTGTTCCTGACGACACACATACAGTAAGGCTACTGTAAACATCCACCCAATTCTGGGACTTGAAGGTGGTGGAGCCTATGGGTATAAGGCAGGGAACAACCCAGGATGGGGCGCCAACCCATCACAGGGCACAAGGCAGGGAACAACCCAGGATGGGGCGCCAACCCATCACAGGGCACAAGGCAGGGAACAACCCAGGATGGGGCACCAACCCATCACAGGGCACAAGGCAGGGAACAACCCAGGATGGGGCACCAACCCATCACAGGGCACAAGGCAGGGAACAACCCGGGATGGGGCACCAACCCATCACAGGGCACAAGGCAGGGAACAACCCAGGATGGGGCACCAACCCATCGCAGGACACAAGGCAGGGAACAACCCAGGATGGGGCGCCAGCCCATAGCAGGGCAACCACACACCAGTCACTCACTAGGGGGGTTGGGGTGGTACTGGAGGAGCCAGAGGAAACCCCACAATGACAAAATGCAAACTCTACACACATGACAGACACTCAAACCCTGGTCCCAGAGGTGTGAGACAACAGTGCCAACCACTGTGCCATCATAGCGCCTCCTACTGCAAACAACTGTAAAAATAAAACTGCACGCTCACATTGCTTATCCACACAACATGCTTTTGATCAGTTGCCCAAGTATTTTGTCAAAGTGATGCAGTCTATTAGTTGGCTAATTCACTTGTTTATTTGTCTGCTGCCTCTTTTGTTTATGTATGTGACTGGAGTTCTGAGACTCGGGTGTAAGATATAGCATAAGCTTGGAGAGCATAATGCCCTAAATGTCAAATATAATGCATTTACTGTAGATGAGCATCATGTGATGCTTTTATATATGCAAAATACATTTATACCCTCAGAATAATGTAGTCATGATGAAAAAGGCAATAACCCACTAAATAATCAGTGCTGTTAAACATTTTAAAAAGAAAGTCATTTATTGCTAAACCTGGCATAGATCATGACACAAGAAAAAAAGGTAAAGAGAAATAATAGGATTAAAACACTGACCCTAACTGACCCACAGTGAAGGTAATATTCAGCAATTTCCCTGGAACGTGCTGATCTGACTGAGAAATTTCTCTTTCCACTCTAAAAACGGTGCATTATTGGGGAGCTTTTTACAGATTTGTAATGTTGCACAAGCGCAGGACAATGAGCGGGATGAATCAAATCTTCTAGCTTTAGAATTCCAGTTGTGTTTCTAATCATGATAGTAATGACTTAATCTCAGCACAAACAACGTTACAGAGGGCAAGTATCTTCATTGCATGCATAACTGAAACATAACCAGTCATAATGACACAGATGATTGCATATTTTTCTCAATAAAACTTGTCAGCTTTGGCAGTAGACCATCTTCTCATTTTGAAAAGGGGGGTATTAATATGCCATGGATTTGCCCTTGCTGCTGTAAAAGGCTTTGCTCTTCTGGGGCAGTGTTCCATCAGACAGCGGAACATCGCTGAATGGCAGCATCTCCATTCAGCGATGTTCCGTCAGACAGCGGAACATCGCTGAATGGAGATGCTGCCATTCAGGTTGTGTGTTAATGTTGACTGATCAGCTTCCTTTCTGGGACTTTGTGTGCCTCAAAAGTTCACAAGTGCGTTTGCACTTCATAATCACTTCAAGGATCAAGTTTTAATGTCACATGTATTCAGGGAACTTGTGTCACAGTGGGGGTGGGGGTGCATGGGGGGGGGGGGTCGGAAAAACAACAGTGCAAAACATTATAGGAATAGAATTACGTGATGAATAATTAGGCAGTACGACATGGGGATGAGGTTGCTTTGCAGGATGTGCAATTGTGCTGGAAAAGTACAGAAAGCATTTGGTGTGAGATTCACCAGGGGAGCTTTAGCTCGGCATAAATTTGGCAAAGTGGCACGATGGAAGGCAGCAGGTGTCCTGCAGCAACGCCAAGTCACTAACCTCAATGGTACAACCATCCATTCTGCTGCCAGAGTTTATTCCTGCAGATTCGATGGCTGTGGCGTAATGATCAAACCCCGTTAATTATGAGGGGTGTCCACATACCTCTGGCCATATAGTGTATAACAGTAATGGTATTTCATATTTCACTTTGCTTAATTTGTTTTGTCTTTTAATGCCAAAAGAAAATTGCAATTACCATGCAGGAGGGATTCAGCGATAATTATTCCAAGTCAGATGAAATGTTAAGATTATTTGCTAATTGAAATGTCACAACAAATATACTATAGCTGTTTGCTAGTAAGAAAAATTAACTTTGTAAATAGCCAGGCAATTAGCTTTTTTTTATCTGGGTATCTACTAGTAACTATTTTATGTTATCAAGCACCCACTGTACAATTTATCATTTTATTCTCTTATATGAGTATGTAAGAAAAAAATTACAGCCTGATGTGCCTTTTTCAAACATGTGCACTATAATGACCCCCCAGTAAAGACTGAAGGGGTAAATCCACATCCAGAGCAGGCCTGTGTTATGATCACTTAAAGATTCTGTGTGGGGATAACAGTAATAAGACAAAATGGTTTACTGCCCTGCATGACAGCAGTTTGAAGGAATATGTTTGTCAAGGCTGACAATATTTTGCGGAACACAGTCATACTGGCACTGATAGACAGCTGTCAATCAAATCATTCTGGGTGAAAGATGATCACATTGATGTCTCTAATACACACGCTTCTTTTTGCCTGTAAAATTTTCAGTAGTTGGACTTCAACACCACTTCCTGACTTGATGGATAATTAACTATTATATTTGTATCTTAATAGTGACTGAGAAACAACTACAGTCTACTTTCAATTCTCGCTCTGTGCAATTAATGGAAAGAACTTGAAATACGGGACTGACACACTCTCCTCCCACAACAGCATTTTAGTTTTTAGATTCACAGGCTCGCAGGTTTTCCCAGGATAAACTCGCATGCTGTTAGGCACGATGGAAATAATGGACACCAGAATACAGAACAAAATATGTTGTCACTGCAATCTATCTATCTATCTATCTATCTATCTATCTATTTATCTATCTATCTATCTATCTATAGCAATTTTCTCATACTGAGTTTACAAAACTCAGAGCTTAAGCACAGCTCTTGTGTAAGACTTTGTGTATCTTTCCTTAATTATGGCTTAAACCCTGAAAGGATGCAATCTGATCGAATGACTGGCAATTTAGCTCCTTCATTGCATTCGCTTTCCTTCACTTTTACATGCAGCTTGATACTGTCTGCTAAACACAACATGATTACTGTAGGCATGCATTCACAGCACCCACGACAGGGAAACTCTGCATATATGCACACAAACATGCCCACATATGTATCCTCACAAGCTCAGACACATCGCAAAATGATAGGCTACATATTTTTTAGCATTCTCTACACTCACCATTTATTAAGCCAAAATCTCATTCGCAGTAGATGGGATTACAGAATTCCTGCGTGATTCCCTGTTTCCACAGCCTCTCGGCACATTGCGAAGAGGATTTCCTCGATCCTGGCTGCCTTAAACAGCTTGGAAAAGCATGGAGCACCCAGCAGTGCCGAAGGCACAGGAGAATGAGCACAGTGGATGGAGGAGGGAGGGATGGGGGGGGGGGGGGGGGGGGGGTGGGGGGGGGGGGGGGGGGGGGGGGGTTGGCTCACAGGAGAAAAGTATGAGAGGGGCTTACCTTATGCTGTGCATCTGTCGTCACAGACCTGAAAAGAGTAATAACACAGGGTGCTGAGAATGCTCACGCTGAGTCCGGCAGCCCTGCGGCTGTCGCTCCGACATGTGCCCGGCGCACAGCGGCTGCAAGTGCACCTACTGCTGCATCAGCAGCCGGCACAGGAGCCAGCAGACAGCTGAGGCCCGAGGCCACGGAGATGGACCCTGCAAGCGGCGAGAGAAACGCAAGGCTGGGACATTCTCACCTTCGGATCACTCCACGCATTATGCACGAGGCTCTCATCACACAAGGCAAGTTTAATATGACGGAGTGAGCGACAGAGCATCTGTCCCTGCACCATTCTATTCTGATGGGGTCACAGTTCTGCGTTTGTCACCCTAACAGTGGTGACAGGGGGTGATGCTTGGTGCCTTATGCTGCCCTGATCCCACCATGTAACGGCAGCTGCCATCTAGACACAACAAATAGGTCCCTAATTTTTATCCTCAGTAATTACAAGAGCTTATTTCATGTGATAAAAAACCAGCATTTATCCTCAGTAGGATGCAGCAATGGGGAGGGGCGACTGCAAGAATCAGAGCAAATCACAGACCAATGTTCTGCCCCAAGCATCCATAAAAGGAGAATGACACCGTTATATTTGCATCACATGAAGCCCATCAAGTGTGTAACAAAGCTGCTGGAGAGTAATAATCAAAACAGCTGTGTGTGTGAAGCCTGGTTCCTGCATGGATACGCAAAGACATTCGATTAAACAGCCTGAAATAGGCCTTCACTGCAGGAAACCCTCCCATGCAATAAATCAGCCCGAAACAGGCCTTCACTGTAGGAAACCCTCCCATGCAATAAATCAGCCCGAAACAGGCCTTCACTGCAGGAAACCCTCCCATGCAATAAAACAGCCCGAAACAGGCCTTCACTGCAGGAAACCCTCCCATGCAATAAAACAGCCCGCAACAGGCCTTCACTGCAGGAAACCCTCCCATGCAATTAAACAGCCCGNCTGCAGGAAACCCTCCCATGCAATTAAACAGCCCGAAACAGGCCTTCACTGCAGCAAACCCTCCCCAGGCTTCTCATGGGCTTTGTGGTGCTCAGAGCTCCTGCCCGTCTTTGGCTATTTATCTAGCTGTGACTTGAGTGATGGTATTGATCCCTGTCTCTGCTGTGTAAAAATATTGCCCAAATCAGATATCGACTCTTTTTACTCCATAAACACAACTGTCTACCAACCAAAGAAGATAATTCTTTGAGTTACCCGCTGGCTATGAAATACTTTAAGGCCAGATTGGAAACAACATAAGAAATTGCTCATCACTGACAGCATCTTTGATCAGTTTCTTTCGCACATACATAAGTAGATATTTTACCCTTCTATTGCCATTGCATAACCTCAAAAAAGATTTTACCTGCTTAAAATAATAGATATGTAAGTTTTCTAAACCCCCCCCCCCTCACCCCCACTGTCTGTCTATTGATCACATAAATCACATAAATAAGCAATATATATGGCTGCTGACTGAAGGAGCAGATTCAATTGAATTCTTGCATGGTTTTAAACAATAAGAAATTTCCAGCTTAAAAATCATATAATTAGAGCCAGTTTATTATACTTTGTTTCATTAAATGAAAATTTCACCCCAAAACAATATTGTGCTTGTTTTTTTTGATCATTATACAACTTCACATAGATTGAAAGGAAATCAAATAATATGCTTATTAAACGTGGAAGTGCATCTCATGTGTTTTATTTTTTTCTTTGTATTGGAAATACAAAGTCTGTCAAACACATACATACACACACATTTGTAATTATATCTTTGTGGGGACTCTCCATTAATTTTTATGGGAAAAGCCTAATCCCAGCAATGACACCCTTAACCCTACCCAGCCCTAACCTTGACCATAAGTGTCACACCCCGCTCCGTCCGATCCTAATGTGTGCCACGCCCCCTCGTTAACCTCATGTGGAATCCCAGTGTTTTACAGCTGTTTCGGATTGTTGTCATTAGTTCAGTGTATTTAGTCCGCGTTTCCGTTTGTATCCCCAGTTTGGTCATTGATGTTGTTTTGTTGCGTGCTCTGTGTTTTGGCATTAAACTCCGTATTCCCCGATCCCTGGCTTCTGTTCGCCTGCTTTCCCGATCCGTGCTGCATGTACCGTGACAATAAGTAACCAAATGACTTTTTTTTTACATGTTTAGTTTCTTGATTGCATTCACAGATTTTTATAAAATTGGGGATATCATCATAGGGACAAAAGAAATGTAAAAATGTACAGATTTTTATCACATGGGGAAAGTTGACCTTGGACCCCCGAGGTTTTTTCTCCTTACCTAAGAGCTTTTGGTTCCTCTCCTCCGTTGTCATCTGGTTTTCTTTATTTCATTTCTTTCCTTCCTTTTTCCTGTTCTGTATTACTCCCTCTAATGATGTTTAATGTATCACAACACATCCATGTAAAGCACCTTGGGATGACTCTGTTGTAAAAGGTGCTATATAAAATAAAGTGAATTGAGTTTAAATCTAGTCTGCATAATGTAATAATCACATACACACAGACTCAGACAGACACAGACACACACCTTCAGTCATACTATAAACACTTTTTGTGGTCACCAGTTCACAGAAAGGGCAAATCTTACATGCAAGTGGCACCTGAACAATCCCTCAGGAAACTAAGCATATGGGCAAATCCTGCAAGTACAAATCTGAGCCGTCAGGCACTGAGCCCTGGGTCTGTGAAGCAAAAATGTACCCAGCTGAGCTACTTTTTCAGTTAAATTTATAGAGGCTCTGAACGTCTGAATCTCATCCTCATGTAAACATCAATAGCATGGATTCACTTTTTTTTGACTGAAATGCATTCAGGCTCCTTTATTAAAAGACTTTTTGCACTCGCAATATTCTGAATATATTTTCCGGTACGGACAGATATAAAGTATAACAGCGAAGCAGGTGCCATTTCAACAGCAACAGAAATGCTTGTTTGTGAAGTGAATTCACCATTATATAGGCTACATGCCTGCCAATGTAATCATAGAGACAAACTGAGCTGCAGTGTCTATCCCCTGCAAGCCGGCTGCCTGCACTGTCACAGATAGCCAGAAATCATTTAGACATATCCCATCCTACGTGGGTTTTAATAGAAGTTGCATTGCTGTGTGAGGTTGCCATGGAAACAGATCATGTTCAAACGTACACAATGAGATTATTCCATTCAGCTACCCAAAAAGGAGAAAATGCAAGCACAGCTAACAGTATTGCTAATTGCTCACCATCTATGACATAATTTAATTTCCCTCCTAGTTCCCCCCCCCAAAGGTGAGTCATATTAGGTTGAATGATTATTAGAATGTTATTATGGATAATCTCAAGGTAATATTTGCACACCTCCTACACATCAGTCACTTTATGTTCATGGTTTTTCTGCATGACGTTTGTGGCTCTTATGTCACACCGCTGGTAATGTGCCAGACTGCTGTGCCCATGCGGAGCTCACTGGCTGGGCACCCGAGCAGTCGGTCGGCAAAGACAGCCACCTCCTCAAAGCCTCCTCAGACAGAACTCAACAGCAGGGAATCTCTCATTCACAAATGGTCACTGGTCATTTTTTTTTTTATCTCTCAGCTCTGTTTGGATCCACAGCTATTTTTTCCTGGAGGGACAAATTCCATCAGTGATACAAAGCCAAGGTCCACTGCATCTGGAAAAAACAATGCTTATGGAGGCCCGCCAGTTACTAAGCATCTTTCCAAAATGAATTATTATGGTGATAAACAAGAACCCATTAGTATTTTTCACTAGTGAGAGAGAATGCCCCCCCCCCAAAAAAAAACACTTATTATGACAATAGAGTAACTGACTATAAATCGTCTCTCTTTTGCACCAGTTCTCCTCACCCAGAAAGAGAATATATGAATTTATCACAAATTCTTCCCCTACATATGTGCTAGTTTATCCTTCAAGGCTGGAGAACATCCAGTTTTTTTCTGGTATTCCATCCCTGCCATAAAATATTTCCTGTCGTCTGTTCCTGGCATCTTTCTGCATGTCCCTCAAGATGTTTGCTAAGTCCCGTGACATTCCTCAGTCGTATCAGGCTTCTCCAAGCAGTTGAATTTCAAACTTTACATTTTTCCCATGTGGTTCTTACCTGTCCTTTGTATAATGAAACAAACCTCTGATCTCTCCCCAAAAACAGGTCCTCTACATAAATGGTGTTAAACACAGTGCATTTCATAAGCCTGTTATTGGAACCTTTTATTTTACATTGAAAAGGCAGCCAGTTCTCATTCAGGCAAGTTCCTGTGATCAGTGCTGTGGCCGAGGCAGTTTTAATCTACTGTGAGAACAGCAGAGCAACATCATAATGGACTTTCACTGCAGGTGCTTTTAACACAAGACTATGCTGTCAGATGACCTTGTAATGTAAGCAATTAACAGAGCCTGTGTGTCATTTAATCGGAGCTAAATATAGAGGGGGGTCGTCGGTGGATGTGGGTTCACTTCCAACGAGGCTGGCGAACTATTAACGTTAAACTTCCACATGGTAGTATTATGTGCACAGTGCTATTCGTAGTGTGGACATGTGAGCTCGCGGATCTGCAGGATTTCCCTGCCAGACCTCCGTCCTGCACTAAGCCAGCGGAACGAGCCACCAAAGTTAGTTGGTGAGAGAAGATTTTCAGTCAAAGGGGCCTACGGCCTCCCAGCATGGGAAAGGGACCCAGGACTACATGGGCTGCCGAGGGGCAGGGGGGCAGTGGTTTGGAAAAGGGGGATATGGGACCTCAGTACGTTTTCTTCTATGGTCAGTTATCAGGGACGTCGGAAGTAGTGGGAACACCCCCCCCCCCCAATATTGGAAGACACCCCCCTTTC